TTAGCTACATGGATGACATATTCAAGCTGATCAAGGAGTTCTGGACAATCAATACACCGCTGCACTCGACGCTGATCAATCTCATCGAACAGATTGCCGTTGCGTTGGGCTGCGAGTTTCGTGATTATTTGGCGCAGCTCATACCGCAAATTTTACGCGTGCTGCAGCATGACAATTCCAAGGATCGAATGGTCACGCGACGTCTGCTGCAGGCGCTGCAGAAATTTGGCAGCACTTTGGGCTATTATCTGCCACTGATTGTGCCGCCCATTGTGAAGTTCTTTGACTCGCCGTATGTGCCTCAGCAAGTGTCCTTGGTGGCGCTGGAGACGATAAACAGTTTGGCGTGTCAGCTGGATTTCACGGATTTCTCCTCGCGCATCATACATCCATTGGTACGTGTGCTGGACACGGAGCCGGAGCTGCGCGATCAGGCAATGACAACGCTGCGCTCCCTGGTCAAGCAGCTAGGCAAGAAATATCTGGTGTTTGTGCCCATGGTGGAGCGCACCATAATCAAACATCGCATCGTCGATAGCGAGTACAAAGAGCTACTCGACCGCATTCAATCCAATAGCACCTTGGCAGATGCCTCTGGCATTGGCTTTGGCATCGGCAGTGACTTTGGCCAGCGCCAGGCAAAGCCCAAGTACAACGAACCCTTTGTGCTGGACAGCAACAGCAGCAGCAAGAATCTGAAGGTGTCGACGAATGCGCTGCGCACCGCTTGGCAGGTGACGCGGCGTGTCTCCAAGGATGACTGGATGGAATGGCTCAAACGTTTGTCTATCGGTCTGCTAAAGGAGTCGCCCTCGCATGCGTTGCGCGCCTGTTGTGTCCTGGCCCAGGATTACGATACGTTGCTACGGGATTTGTTTAATGCGGCTTTCATATCTTGCTGGACGGAACTCTCGCCCGAGCATAGGTACGAGCTAACACAATCACTTATACAGGCGCTACAGGTCACGGACATGCCAGAGATCACACAGACCATACTCAATCTTGCCGAGTTTATGGAGCACTGTGATCGTGATCCCATACCCATAGAAACGCAGCTGTTGGGCACCCATGCCATGGCCTGTCGGGCATATGCCAAGGCTTTGCGCTACAAGGAGGAGGAGTTTGTGCCGCGCCAGGAGCCGCACGTCTTTGAGTCGCTCATCCATATCAACAACAAGCTGCAGCAGCGGGAGGCAGCCGAAGGTCTGCTAACCACCTATCGCAACTCGGCCAACGAGGGCAGCGTCCATGGGCGCTGGTATGAAAAGCTACACAATTGGGAGCAGGCGTTGCATCATTATCAGCTCAATCTGACAGCTGATCCCAACGATTTGGAGGCTCGTCTCGGCCATATGCGCTGCCTGGAGGCCCTTGGCGATTGGTCCCAGCTGAGCAACCGCTGCAAGGAGGAATGGCCCAACTTCAGTACGGAGGCCAAATCGCGTGCGAGTCCCTTGGCTGCTGTCGCCGCCTGGGGTCTGAAAGATTGGGAAGGCATGCAGGAATATGTACGCTGCATACCCGTGGATACGCAAGATGGCAGCTTCTATCGTGCTGTGCTCGCCGTGCATCACGATGATTTTGAGTCGGCCCAGCGGCTGATTGATGAGACGCGTGATCTGCTGGACACCGAACTGACCTCCATGGCTGGGGAGTCCTATGAGCGCGCCTACGGTGCGATGGTCTGTGTCCAAATGTTGGCCGAGCTGGAGGAGGTGATACAATACAAACTAATACCGGACCGACGCGAACCGCTCAAGTCCATGTGGTGGAAACGTCTGCAGGGCGGGCAGCGCTTGGTTGAGGACTGGCGTCGTATTATCCAGGTGCACTCGCTGGTCGTGAAGCCACATGAGGATATACACACCTGGCTAAAATATGCCAGCTTGTGTCGCAAGAGCGGCTCGTTGAACTTGTCGCACAAGACGCTAGTGATGCTGCTGGGCACTGATCCAGCACTGTCGCCCGATGACCCACTGCCTTACAACCAGCCCCAGGTTACCTATGCCTATACCAAATATCTGGCTGCCTCCTCTCAGCCACAGTTGGCGTACAAGCAGCTGCGTGACTTTGTCAATACGTACAGCGCTCAGTTGAATTGTCTGCCGGCTGAGGCACAGAAGCAGCAGGATCAGCGTCTGATGGCGCGCTGCTATTTGCGGCTGGCCACCTGGCAGAACAAGCTGCACGAGAATCGACCCAATCCGGAAGCGGTGCAAGGCGCATTAGAGTGCTTCGAGAAGGCTACCGACTATGATCCCAACTGGTACAAGGCCTGGCATCTGTGGGCCTACATGAACTTCAAGGTGGTACAATCCCAGAAGCAGGCACTTGAAAATCAACGACAGCAATCGCCAGCGTCCATGGGCTTGGGCCTGGACAGCGAACGTCTAATCATACAGCAGTATGCTGTGCCGGCGGTGCAGGGCTTCTTTCGCTCCATCAGCCTCATTCGTGGCAATTCGCTGCAGGACACGCTGCGTCTGCTGACGCTCTGGTTTGACTATGGCAACCATGCGGAGGTGTATGAAGCGCTCTTCTCCGGCATGAAACTGATCGAGATCAACACCTGGCTGCAGGTAATTCCACAGCTAATTGCACGCATCGACACACATCGCAAGCTAGTGGGCCAGCTCATTCATCAGTTGCTCATGGACATTGGTAAGAATCATCCGCAGGCGCTTGTCTATCCACTGACAGTGGCCTCCAAGTCCGCTTCGCTGGCGCGGAAAACGGCGGCCTTCAAGATACTCGACTCGATGCGGAAGCATTCGCCCACGCTCGTCGAGCAGGCGGTCATGTGCAGCGAGGAGCTGATTCGCGTGGCCATCCTCTGGCACGAGCAGTGGCACGAAGGATTGGAGGAAGCTAGTCGTCTCTACTTCGGAGATCGCAATGTAAAGGGCATGTTCGAAATTCTCGAGCCGTTGCACGCGATGCTGGATCGCGGACCACAGACACTCAAAGAGACGTCCTTCTCCCAGGCCTATGGCCGTGAACTGACCGAGGCGTATGAGTGGACGCAGCGCTATAAAACCTCGGCCGTTCTCATGGATTTGGATCGTGCATGGGATATCTATTATCATGTGTTCCAGAAGATCTCGCGCCAACTGCCGCAGCTGACGTCGCTGGAATTGCCTTATGTGTCGCCCAAGTTGATGACCTGCAAGAATCTGGAGCTAGCCGTGCCCGGTTCCTATAATCCAGGCCAGGAGCTGATACGCATCAATCACATCAAAACTAATCTGCAGGTGATCACATCCAAGCAGCGGCCAAGAAAACTTTGTATACGAGGCTCCAACGGCAAGGACTATATGTATTTGCTGAAGGGCCACGAGGATCTGAGGCAGGATGAGCGAGTGATGCAGCTCTTTTCACTGGTCAATACGCTCCTACTCGACGATCCAGACACGTTCCGTCGTAATCTGGCCATCCAGCGCTATGCCGTCATCCCGCTAAGCACAAACTCAGGATTGATTGGCTGGGTGCCGCACTGTGATACGCTACATACGCTGATCCGCGACTATCGCGACAAGAAGAAGGTGCCGCTCAATCAGGAGCATCGCACCATGCTGAACTATGCGCCCGACTATGACCATCTGACGCTCATGCAAAAGGTCGAGGTGTTCGAGTATGCTTTAGGTCAGACCCAGGGCGACGATCTGGCCAAGTTGCTGTGGCTTAAGTCCCCATCGTCGGAGCTGTGGTTCGAGCGGCGCAACAATTACACACGCTCATTGGCCGTAATGTCCATGGTGGGTTACATACTCGGTCTGGGTGATAGGCATCCTTCCAATCTGATGTTGGATCGCATGAGTGGCAAGATATTGCACATTGATTTTGGTGATTGCTTCGAAGTGGCCATGACACGTGAGAAGTTTCCCGAGAAGATACCCTTCCGGCTGACTCGAATGCTCATCAAGGCGATGGAGGTAACCGGCATTGAAGGCACCTATCGACGCACCTGTGAGAGTGTTATGTTAGTGCTGCGTCGCAACAAGGACTCGCTGATGGCTGTGCTGGAAGCCTTCGTCTACGATCCACTGCTCAACTGGCGTCTGCTCGATGTGGACAAAAAGGGTAACGATACAACAACCGCGGCTGGTGCCAGCGGCGGCAGTCCAAGCAACTCCATCGAGCAGGAGTCACTGCTGCAGGGCAATCCAGTTGCCAAATCCAAGACCTACGAGGCACAGCAGCTGCATGGCGGCTACACAAATGTAGCCGATGTGACCAACAGCAAGGCCAGCATGGTTATACAGCGTGTCAATCGCAAGCTAACTGGCACAGATTTCCAAATGCCTGAGATGACGGAGCAGCAGCAGGTGGAGCTGCTCATACAGCAGGCGACGAACAATGAGAACCTCTGTCAGTGCTATATTGGCTGGTGTCCCTTCTGGTAGTGCCGACGTGTCCAATCAATCTCCAGGCCATGCACCCATCTGAGACTGAGCGAATAAAACAAATATATGCAGTTACGATTATAAATACGAACACAAACAAACACACACACACAACTAAACACAAAACTATGTATATGTATAATTTATATTAGAAATACGCTTCATTAAAACTTTATTGTAAATTCCAGTTGCAATTAAATTCCAAATTTTGTTAAGCACGAGCCAAGCTGTGGCACCGAAGCAACATTTGGAGTAGTCGCAGCTCGCCCCGTAAGAAAGCAAGCCCAATTCGATGGTGAAACAACCAGCATGTTTGAATTGAAATTACAAAATATATATATATTTATTATAATAACTGAAGTATTTGTGAACGTGAATTTTTACAGAAACATTTTTCTTTTCTAAATGAAATTATACAAAAACAATCAATTAAGCAATATACAATATGTACTTAAATAATTAAAATTATTGCATTTCTCAACATTAACATAAGTTTTGAGAAATCTGAAAATCAACAAAATAATTATCTTTATAATATGATGGACTTGAGAATTTTTAGAAACAACTGCGACTACCCCAAATGGATACCGAAAAATAAGTGAAACTAAATTCTAGCTGCTGATAAATCGCATTTACATATAATAATAATTATAATATATATTTGTATAGAGATATAGGTAGACACTAAAACTGCACATTAAGCTAAGTAAGATTGTAGATTATTGTTTAAGATCTGGTTGCCTTAGCTATTGTTTCGCTTGCCCCGCTGCTCCTTGCGCCAGGCATCGATACGCTGCTTCAGTTCAATATTTGGAATCAGCATATCCTCAGTGAGGTGCTGTCGATTGAACGGATCAGTGCAGCTATTGAGCAGATGCCGCGTGATAATTGCACGATCCATCACCGTGCCAGAGGGCAGCACAACGGGGTCCGACATCAATGTGTCCATCAGCGGATCTTTAAACTCATCAGGCGCGTCGGCGCACTCATCCTCAGTCTGTTGATTAGAAACTGTAAATGGATATACATAAAGATAATCCAATTAATAAAACTCAGATGGAAAGTGTATTTCAAGAGACAAACCATATATTTCATGAGCCCGCTGCGTGAGCGCTTTGAAACGCTCCACCTCCACTCCAGAACGTATCGCAAGGCGTTTAATGCGTGCCGCTGCCTCATTGCAAATTTGCAGATCAAATGAGCGCTCGTCAGCGGCCAATGCCTGCGCAAATCTATCACAGTCCAAGTGGAGATATATATCAAAGATTTGGGCCAACAAACTGCGAGGCTCCCAACCATATTTGGTTGGGTTCTTCACCTTCAGATCGTTGCACTTGGGCCCAGCCAATTGTTTTAAATTAAAGTTAAGCATGGAGCTGAGACGATCGACCAGCTCGGCGCGCATGAACGGCTCCTTAATATCGCTCTACAATAATCAATCACAATGAATACCAAGTTAAATTAGCGACATTCTTAAAAACTCACGGTCAAGTAATGAAATAGATCAACAGTCTCGCGGGCTAATGTTAAATAGGAACGGCATTGACGCTCATCCGTTGCCAGCTGGGTGAGACGACTCTGCTGCTGCTCAGCGCTCATTCCGCTCCAATTCTGTACATCGGACATAAGCTGCTGTGTGAGATGTATGCGTTTAAGATTCTCGAGGCATTCGTCCAGCAAGAATGTCGTATCGTTCATCAACATGTTGACAAACTTAACAAACTGATTACCCTGTCGCGACTCACAGATGACAGCCTGACGGTGTATGGGATTCTCCCACATAGATTTAAATAGATGGCTAATGTGGTATCTGAAAGAAAAGATGTATTATATTTCAAGTAATACTCTCATAGAGACCTATTCAAACTTACCTTATAGTAAACTTATCGTAAAACTCAGTGCTTTGGCCAGTGGTCTCCACATCAACATAAAATCGCATTAGCGCGCTGACCAGCGCATTCTGTGCGAGCACATGGTTCCACATCTATATATATGGAACTTAAGTATTTACTTTTAGTATCTCTCGTATTTACTTACCGCTGTATTAACGGAATTGGCTGGCTTCAGGGAGAACACAAACATCACTTCTACCAGTTTGGCAGTTACATAGGGATTCTTGATGAGATGTGAGGCGCAAACGCAGGTCAACAACCATGTGATGATCGAATGATCGATGCCCTGCCTAATGTCCACATTGGCATGCTGCATGGCAAACAATATGAACTCTGCGATGTCATCGATGTACCACTCGGGCAGTGCGGAAAATGCGTCAGTCGGTTTTAGTTGCTGCACCGGCAGCTTCGAGATGAACGGACCCTCAATCGCACGTCCCTCGAATTGATAAAGCATAAACTCGCACACAGTCGAATAAAATTCAGTGCAGCGCTGCAGCAGCGCGGGATCCAGGAGCGTTATCTCGCTGCAAGTCTTGGAACTGTAAGGGAATACACATTGGTTATCTTACGTTCAGCAGAGGAAGGAAGCAACGAAAATATCATTTCATTTATAATTATATCTACAGTTCATACCGGTTAAGTTTGCGCAGCTGTTTTTCCCATCGCTCCTTGAACTGATTGTTGCGATTGGCATAGCGTGAGTTAACCCAGTGATGCTTGGTACGATCCAGCTCATCAATTAACTTTTGTAGTTCCTTGATGGCGCGCACCTTTTGACGATATCGTTGAATCGCTGGTAAGTAGCCAAGATGATGAGCCTGCAGCGTAAGGAACCAGCATTGCGTCTGGAAATTTACATTCACCGCTGGCGTTGCAAAATTGCGTGCCAAAAAGTTTTTATACTCCTCTTCGCTGTAACGGATTTTCGTGTCCTGCTCGATGTTGACCAGCGAATTGCTGTAGTAGTGGAAATTCGGCTCAATGCGATCTAACTTAATCTTCACCGACAGCTGCTGAAGTACACTCATCAGATTGATGACGAAGCCATCGCGGGCGAGGAGTTTTTCATCGCTGGCAAATTGCACACGACGATCGTTGTGACGCAGGATTTGAGACACGTACTCCAGAGTCTTGGGACGGCTGCTGGCATTGACGCAGAGCGAGTGGAAAACCGTGTGCATGTGAGTGCGCATTGAGTGGAGCTCCCAGCGTAGCCGCGATGTGGCAGTATCTTCAAGTTTGTTTTTGGTTGTGAACTCGGCAAATTTAACATTCTCTTCGGCAAAGAGGGAGACGGACAGAAAAGGGCCCAGAAAGCTGCACTTCACAATTTCTCGTCCCGGTATCTTTGTGCATATGGGCGGTATATAGTTTGGTTGGCGTGAAATCAAATCGGCAATGGGTCGCACATTGCCCACTTTAATAACCACCAACTTGGAAAGCCATTCTATTTGTTGTGTATTGATCTTCGAGCTGCAAATATTACGTTGCATGCCACTGAACAGACCGCGCAGCAATTGGCCGAATATGGTGTCGAAAATCTCACGCTGCTGATACGTTTCGGCCACCAGATCAATGAGGAAGGATTCGCTTACACGGTCCATATACATGAGCTCCAACAAGGTTGACTGGTCCAACTGATAGTTCAGGTTCTGTTGTATGCGATCCGTTAGAACAAGCACAGCAACCCGAATGATATTCGTAAATGCCAATGTCAACGTCTGCTGTGTGCTATCGTCGCCAGCTTGGCCTATTTCATTGGCTCTGCATCTGTTGGACTCGGTTTGATAGTTTTGATAGCAACGCAACAAATGGAGCATGGCATTGTGCTTGGAGGTAGTCACTATATTTAGGGGAGGAGGCACCACGCACGTAACACCAGCATCGCTGGATGTTATATCAGTCTGGCTAGGTGTTGCACTGGCGCTGGCACCTTGATCCTCTTCAGCGGCACTGCTAGAGGCGACTGCATTTGCCAGTATTTCCTGAACTTCGGTGTCGTCGCTTTTAATCTTTTTGGCTGAGGAGAATTCCTTGTCGTCGCCATTGGCGTCGCTCACACCGGTGGCAAGGGGCGTATCACCCTCCACTTTCAAGCTCTCGTCTACCTCATCGTTGTAGAACTTAAACGCCGTCTCTAGCAGCACACTCGTTATAATCGGTTCAAATTCAAAACGTAATTCAGGATAGAGCTCCAGAAAGCTGGCAGTTTGTGCACAAATGATGGAGCCACTACCGAATTCATTCCATGTGGCATTCAATAGTCTCGACAGCATCTGTTCGTTGCGCTCATCAGCGTTCTTAGCTACTGAGGAATTCGTATTGGACACTATTTTCTGGGACTTAGGCTCCGAGTTAAGCAGAACAGCGTTAGGTACGCAGATGGAATGTGCAGTTGTCATTTCAACGTCCTGAATGGGCGTCGATACCACCGATTTCATTTCAACATCCGTGTCCGGCTTGCTGTCCAGATCTGACCATATTATGGACTCTTTGTCGGCCAATGCGTTTGTTGTATCCGTGCTGCTGGAACCGGCAGACGCCTCGCGTACCAATCGCGATTCGCTGGGAACGTTCGCTTGAATGCGAGGTTGTTTCTCTGCTGCCAACGGGGCGACGACACTAGTAGTACTAAGGACGCCACTACGTGCGGCTAAAGTACGCAATCGTCGAGCACGCATCTGCAAATAGAAATTTGGCAACGTTAGACAAGCTTCAGATGATATTATAGAGATTTTATCTGCTTGCCTCTTCGGCGGATAGCTCAGTTACAACGTAGTCTGTAGACGTTTCATGTTGCGACAACGGCATCTGTTCCTCAACATTTGGTTCGCTGGCACTGGGTGACTGTGGTTGCTCTTGTTGTTCATCCATGGGTTTCTGTGATGGCTCCTCTTCCGGCATATCGCTTATTCAGTTGAGCACTTTGGCTGTGTAACCTGGCAGTTCCCGTATGTTTGCTTGTTGCGTAGTTCTTCTGCTGTCCGGGTTAACGAACCAAACAATGAAACGAACCAGAAAGAGAGATCGAGAGAGAGAGAGAAAAAAAGATCGTGAGAGAGTGACTGGCGATTGAGTGAATTGCCACGCGCATTTAACAAATAAACAAAAGTCCAGCGGTCAACGTCAAGTTCACGAAAAGACAATGATTCGTTGTCTGCGCAGCATCCAATTGCAAATGACAACAGTCAGCGAACTAATTTGTTCTTTGTGATATTAAGATTAACTACGCAGTCCATTTCTGACCTATGACAAAAGCCCAAAGGAAGACAACTATATCGAACATGCAGCAGCTATTTATAGTCTCGCAGCTAAGGCGAACGTTATCTGATTGTCAGGCAACACAGCGGACGGGCTACTAATAACAACAACTGCTTCTGCTGGTGCAAGTGCAGTGCACGATATCAAAACAAGTGACAAGTGTATATCGATAGCATTGATGTAGCAATATATAGATTTTTGCGGATTCCTTTCAATATCCATACGTAATTGAAATTGGTTAGATTTCAAGCATGTTGCGCAATTATATCTTTAAAAAGGCCAAGCAGCTGAATATTTTTGACAAGGGCTTTGTTGACAAGATGACATGACAAAATCCTATAATATATGCAAATATTTAAATGCCTAATTATAAAAAACAAATGTTGAGTTACTATTATCGCGACTCAGCAGTTCTCAATTGCTAAATAAATAACTAACAGAAGAACAGTTAAAATCAGCTACTTTATACCATAACCTAACATATTGTTTATAAATTTCTTGAATCGAATTCAAATGTTTTATAAAAAAAACACGTAAACAAGATGACGAATTATCTCTGGTGTCGAAAATCAAATTGACTCATAAACAGTTACTAATTTTGTTAGATATATTTAACAGTTATCGATAACTTTATCTGTGTATATCCTAGAAGCAGCCCACTCATTTGTTAAACATTGTTTGTTTTTAATTCCTTGTATGATTTTATTTTTGAAAGTCCATGCTATATGCGCATTTTGTGGCTAGCTCACTGAACAACAGATATAGGCTGAAAATACGCACTAGCTTGTGCTTACCTGTAATGGCACTTTCACCTGCCGTCACAATGAGAAATTCATGAAAATCGCAAAATGCGGGCAAAGTCTATTGCATTTCGTTGGGCCACTGGCAACGTTTACCGTTTGTGGCGTTGCCGATCGCAACGCTGGCCTTTGAGAGGGGGGAGGATGACGGACGGTGACACGCACAAAAATTTCTCTTTTGTTCTCGCAGAATACCTTTTTGGCCCCGCAGTGCCAATGTTTACACGTTTCTGCACAATTTAAACTATTTATGGCTTTACAATCACAATGCGTTATTAGATGCGCGTGTGCTGAGATTTTGCACACGTTTGCACACGGATTTTCTATAATTCTACTTTTAATTTTTAGACACTGCGTCCGTCAAACTAGAACTAGGATTGTTGATGTTGTATCGGCAGACAGACTAATCGATAGCACACAATAACTATCGATGTTTAACACGATATTACTTACGTTGACAGCCGAATGGCAATGTTAGAAAATATGAACCTATTTTCACACAAAGCAAACCAAGAGAAAATGAAAAAAAAATTAACTGCAAATTTGATATTAAATTTATCATTCACCAAATTAATACTGAGCTTTGCTGCTATTGACTTTAAAAGAAATCGATAGCGCATGCTATCGATACTTGCGCATTTGCGATGACAAGCAACTCGACAGTTTCGTTCAACAAAAGAAAATCATTTACTCCATATTACAAAAATGTTACAATTACTTGCGGAACCTAATTCGAATCCTAAAAGCTATATATATTTATGTTACTAGAAATCCGTATATCTCTGACGTAGGCTCTGACGCTTAGCAACATGATGCATCTGAAATATATAAATTTTTATTTATTTAGTTTACTTAATAATATTAAATTATGCTTGAGAACTTACTAGACGTTGTTGCCTTCGCTCCCGATTTTTCTCATAGGCCTTTAAAAGAGTTGGACACATGCGTCGTATAAAGTCCTCTGATTCCCAAAAGAGACCGCCTTGATTCTCGTATCGCAGCAGAAACTCAACCTAAAAATGAAAAAAATAATTACAAAAATTTAAATTTGAACTTTTTAATAGGTAGCTTGCCTTGCCCGCCTTTGTCTCCTTGCCCAATACTCGTTCTATACCGTTCTCCGGCTTACACTTTTTATAGAAATCATCTTCGTTGTTTTTATCAGCTTTCACCTCACGTTCCACCAGCTGTGGCATATCCTCAATGTTTAGCAGGCCATCGCGTAGTCGCTCGCCATTTTGTTCGACACGCCGCACAAATGTCAGCGGATGCTGCTTTAAGTAGTCATCCGCTTCGGCGATTGTCTTGGCCAAGTTGAATTCCTCCTCTTCCTCATCCTGGGGGTCTTCGTCGTCTTCGCACTCATCGTCATCATCATCCATGTCCATGCCATCACAGCTAAGATTTGCCTTATTGGCACTGTTACGCGTCGAGTGTTTTTTCTTTTTGACACGATTGCCACCATCGTTTGCTTTGACGTCTGGATGGAATCGTACTTTTTTGACACGATGGTCGCAGCTGTCTGTATTGTGTTGCTCCACCATATCATCTATCAGTTGACCATCAGCGATGTCGCTTGATGTGTTCGATGTTGACACCTCTGCCTCCGTTTCCGCCAGTGTTGTCTCTTTGAGGTTTTGGGAAATGAGTTTCACTTTCGTTTCAAATGCAGCACTGGCTGCCGTTGTATTGCTGCCGCTTTTAAGCGCTGTCGAACTTTCACCTATGTTCGACTCAGCACCGGACACATCAGTCTTTGGCTCGCCTGGTGGCGACTCTCTTAGTGCAGCGGAATCCCTGCTGCAGCTGTCTGTCTCCGCTGCGGGCTCCGTTGTTGTAGCGCTTGTCTCGACCATTACACACTTCCTTTGCATTGATTTGTCCAGGGAGTCACTGCCACCAGAGTCATCATTGGACTTCGTATCCATGTGCGGCAGGTGTAACGCGTCCTAACAAAATTTTTATTGCAAACAAATCAGTTGTGGAGCAAATCTGGCATTGCCATTCCGATAGACATATCGATTAATTGTATTATAAAACATAAATATATGGCGCTGCCAACCTGCTCGTAGTTTCTTGGTATATTATTTAAAAAACAGTCGATATACCCTATATATATATGTATATGTTCCAAAGGTGCAACTATATCTTTATTTGGTGTTATATTAAATCATTTCTATAGTGAATATTTTATAAATTTTAACAAATTCAGGTTATTAAAAAATTTCTTTGCCTCTATTAGTTTTTGACGAAAATAATATAAACATTCTGAATTTTGCAGTTTACCAGCCAAGCCAATGAGTAAATCGAAATGAGATTATCTTTATATTGTTTTATATTCTCAAAATAAAGTTATAAACATCAATGATATTGTGTACTAAGGTAACAGACGAGTTGATTTTGATTATTTTTTTGTTTTTCTGTCATTTTGATGTCCTTCATGGCATTTCAGACCTCATTTCCTTCTAAGCCTGTTGCTAGCAGGATCCGTACCGGGGACCACCACAGCAACCACGATATGGCGGACAGGGCGGCACGCAGCTCATACGAGTAACGGGAACTGAAGCGCAACCTGTCCAGTAGTTAAAACAAAAGTTGGTGCATTGAATTCCAGATGGTATGCCGCAGCAGCCACCCGGATTCCAGCACATGTTGCAAGCTTACGGAAATAGGTGAAAATTGGCCAAAAATCTGTTTATGTTTCCAACTTTGTGTCCCGCAGTGTTGCACCAGCGCCAGATTAAAAAACCAGAATTTATATTCTGCTTAAAAATAAAATGTTCTATTTCGAATATTTGGGAATCTACTAGCTTTACCTGAATCTCAACCCAACACACAACGAGCTCCAAAAAAGATGTAAAAATTTTGTGCTGTGCACACGACGGAGTACAAAACTGGAATGCGCTTTTCAGTTAGATGGGGCACCCAGAATATGTTGAAAACATTTTTTAAACAATTCAGAGCCAACTGTGTCGTTTAATCTTTGATGATTCATATTTAAATTAATGTCGACATGTTTTGAAGACTCTTTACACTTATTGCATAGACAGTGCCACCCGTTTCGTTGGTCAGCTAAAAACCACAAATGGACCAAAGCATTTTCTAGTGTTGCAAAATGGCAAACGCATTTGTCCGTTATAGTTTCAAATGCATTTAATATTAATTTTTCGCAGACTTTCAAATTGGGCACCAAAAACGTCTTTAAATGAATTCGAAAAGAAATACGTTTATTAATAAAATATTTTTTATATTCATTTAATATATTTATTTAAAGAAAAATATATTTGATGAATGCGCATTAAATGATTGAAAAGTATTTGTTTTGAATACAGCTCAAATTTAAATAAGAGAATTTTCTTATTATATAAATTGTTCTTGAAAATAAAAAATTAAATTGAAGCTGTAAAATTTGTTGTAAATGCAACTTGTGTTTTTTTATTATTTGATTTTCCTTTTTTTTTTATTAACAATTGTTTTTTTTTGTACATTTTCTTTGTTTAAATTTATGCCATAAATGTGTGTGTGTGTGTGTCTGTGCATAGTAAACAAAAACTAAGTTATTTACACTAAACTAATTAGAAGTATTTTATTGTTAAAGACTATTTCAAATATATATGTATATACATATATACATATATATACATACATATATATATATATATGTATATGTATATCAAAGGCGGTTTCATTTATATTCAATTAAGTTTCTGTATACTCTGCTTTTTCTCTTTTGTTTTTGCTTATATTTTCATGTTTTTTTCTTCTCTTGTTTTGTTTAAATATTTTATTTTTTTTTAAACTATTTAAATATGGCCCCGCTATTCCACATGTGTTCATTTCATTTCCTTAGATTTTATGATAACTTCTGCTGTGTTTTTAGTATATTTTTGTTCTTGTTGCACAGTGTACACTGCGCGACAGAAACAATGTTTGTATATATAGTTAAACAAAACCATTTGAAACTTTAAATTTTCACTATAAATTAATAGCTATAGTACTTATTTAATATGTGTATGTGTGTGTGTTGGCTGCAAAAATAAATTTCAATTGCAAATATTGCAAATTATTTAATTATTTAAAGTTCATCATTTTGAATTTGTTTCTCTTATTTTGTTTAGCAGCTCTGTTGTAAATATGTTTATACAGATATATATATAGTACCATATTCATTGAATGATATTTTGTATTTTATTTTGTTTTTTGTTTTTTTTTTTTTAAATTAAATTTCTCTCTTTTTTGTTGTTGTTTTTGTTTTTAATTTACAATATTCAATAATCACAGTTCCTATTCAAAAACAAATTGTTTAAAAGACGAATTTTGAATTTGTTTTTAGTTTTAAATTTAGTTTTAGTTTTTTTTCTTTTGATTTTGTCATGAACCAGTTTGGATTTCTTTGAAACGCGTTTGGATCTTGCCTTATAGCTAGGTTTGTTTTTAAAATATATTTTTTTGTTCACATATCAAGTGGAAATTTGAATAAACGTTTCGAAAAAAAGAAATTATAATAGCTAACATATTTAGCCACTGGTTAAATTAAATATTTCTTAGCAAATTAATTTTGTTTAGCTGAAACAACTTACAGTTAGATTTAAAAGTGCAGGAACTTGTCCATCTGTGTGTGTGTGTGTTGGCTTTTGTTAGTAACAATTAAACAATAATTGGTGCTTAAAACGACATTCGACAACTAAATACCCAATTAAAAACAAACAAAAAACATTAACAAGCCCCAAAGAATTCATTAAAATAATCAAAATAATAATAGTAATAATAATAATAATAATAATTATAATAATTATAATAATAATAACATAAACATTTATGCAATACGTCAAATACAATAATAATAATAGTTCAAGTTGGGTCCCGGCCACGCCTACTTGCGGTAAATGACTTTGCCCGTCTTGGCATTGACCAGTATCATTTTATCAGTTGCCTCCGCGCACGCCTCTGCCGTCGCTGTGGGCGTGGCGGCTGCTGCAGTGCCACGCAAGCTGCGTCGCCTCAGCCGATCGCTGATGTTCTCCACGCGCTGCTTCTCCTCCTCCACAATGGCCGGCTTGACGCTCAGCGCGCCATCGTTCTTGTAGAGAATGATCTTGGTGCTGGGCTTCGTTGCCGGCTGCAGTTGCTCTGGCTGCTCGCCATCAGGCTCCAGCTGCTCCAGCTGCTGCTGCTGCTGCACATTGGCATTGAGTACATTGTCCTGATTGTTATTATGCTCGGTTTGCTCTTTATCCGCCTGCGCTGACAGTTGGGCGTCCTGTTCCACGCTGATCTCCAGTTTGTCGTAGCAGGTGAAAAAGTCGACGGACTTCAGCTTTTCGCTGGCATTGAAATGCACCGCCGTGTGCTCCTCCAGCTCCGCCTCGTCCGCAGCATTGTAGTCACAGTGAGCGCACTGCAGCGCCTCCGTGCTGGGCTGATTGATGCAGGCATGCTTCTGCAGATGCTGTTGCAGTTCCTCGTGCTGCAGCGTCTCGTAGGGACAGTGCTGGCAGCGCAGCGGCGTTGGCGCCGACTGCGGCATGTCCAGGGAGCCGGCATCGCTGCTGGCATCGGCGGCCAGATCGCTGGTGGCCACCGAGGCGCTCGTTGAGGGCGTCGAGCTGCTGTGCCGCTCCTCGTCGGCATCCTCCTCGGTCTCCTTGGTCTTGGGTGGCGTCAGCTCACGCGCCACTGCACCGGGGCCACCCGACTCCAGTTGCTTCTTCAGCAGCGAGTTTTGGCCATCGTAGCTGCCGCTCATGGCGCTGGACGAGCTGATGGCACTCTGCCGCAGCAGCTGAGCTCCCAGCTCATTGTCCACCACCCAAATGGTCTCGGGTCCGCTGATTTGCAGCAACTTGGGCGCCGGATAGGCGACATCCTCTTTGCAATTCCTGTAGAGCTGCTGGCACTTCTCCTGGTAGTGCGACATGTGCACCGCACGATGCAGCTGCAGCAGCGTCTCTGCTCCTGTCCGATACTCACAATATGCGCACACATGCAGCTCCTCCGACTCCTGCTCGCTGGGCGTATGCGCCGCCAAGTGCTGCTCCAGCTCCAGCTTGGCATTGCGCTCATCATTGTGCTTCTGGGCGAAGCGAGCCGGACAGCGCGGACAGTAGCTGATCAGCTTGTATTGATATTCCGGCGGCAGCTGCTGGGCCTGCATCTCCCCTGCGCAGCTCTCCTCCAGCTGCATTTGACTCAGATCGATGGCCAGCGGCGCGGTGGCCGGCAGCTGTTGCACCTGCTTGGCAGCAGCCAACTGCAGTGCCACACTGAAATCCAGGCCAGCTCCAGCGGCGGCTGCTGCGCCCAGCTGCTGCTGATGGACGCTGCGCATGTGACTGCTCAGGTGTTGCTTCTTGGCGCAGACGAAGGTGCACAGCTGGCACTCGTACTGCGTGGGCTTGTGCAGCGAGACGTGGTAGTTCATCTGTGACTTGCTTTCCGAGATGTATGGACAGACGGGACACTTCTGCTGCTTGCTCTTCGTGTTGGTGGGCAACTCCTGTGAGCTGTTGATGGCAGCAGCTGCGGCTGCAGCTGAGGGCAGGCGCGTGATCTCGATTTGATCGTTCTGCTGCAGCTGAGCGAGCTCCTCGGCGCTGCTGCTGGCCATGGCATTGGCCGCCTTATAGGCGGCGGCCCAACAGGCAGCCGCCACCTCCAGATCCTGCTGCGTGTTCGCTGCATTCACCACGGCAGCGGTGCTGGCGGAGAGCGGCGAGTGGAGCAGCTGCTCCAGCTGCTTGCTGCTTAGCAGGCCGCTGATGCTGTTGTTGTTGTTGTTGTTGTTGTTGTTCTGGCTAGGCTTGTTGTTGTTGTTGCTGTTGCTGTTGTAGTTGTGTGCTTGGGACTCGTTGCTGGCGCCGGCGCCCTGTGGACGGTAAACGGGCGCAGCGCCGCTGCTGTTGCTGCTGCGCTCAAGGGTCTCGATCCGAATATCCCCGGAATGCTTTAAGCGACAATGCCGCTGTAAATGAGAAGAAGCAGAACACGCAATAGTTGCACAAATTAATAAATTGTTTTTGCTTATATTTATTTAAGTTTTTTTCCAGCGTATTTCTGTGTATGTGTGTGAGTATGTATGTGTATGTGTATGTGAGGATATTTAGTAGCTGGAGCAACAGGTATGGCAGAGCAGCGCAGCGAGCTCTAAAATAATGGGAACAATAGTAAGCCTTGAACATTTCCCTACTATATGTTTAGTGTGGGAAAACTGCAAGAGTTGAATAGTTCATTCATTTTGTAAAGGGCAATACTTAAAATACTGGGAATTTTATTTTTGCCTTTCGTAAGTTCCCAACTATATGTTAAGTGTTGCACAAGTGCAAGAGTTGATTAGTTCAACTAAGGAAATTCATTTTCTAAGTCTTCTTCATACACAGAGTACTTCAAATACTGGGAATAATATTTTTGGCCTCTCATAAGTTCCCAACTATATGCTTAGTGCTGCAAAGCTGTAAGAGTTGAAGAGTTCAACTGAGGAAATTACTGTAGTAAGAGCACTGAAAATGCTGAAAACATTATTTTTGGCTGCGAGAGTTGAAAATTTCAGATGTGGGAATTTATTTTCGAATAGCTGCCATAGCTACTGAAAATATTTTGTTTGCCTTTGAAATATTTCCAGCTACAGTGAGAGTTGCATCAGCTGCTTAATACCCTCTCTTAATATGTTTTTAATAATGTATTTTGTGTATATGTGTGTGTGTAATGTTTATGTGTATTTGGATGGGGAAACCCAAACGAAACACGCGCACCGTATGATTTCTTAACTATGCCCCCTGCATTTTGGGGGGGTTAGCTTGTTGCATGATATTTGTTTGTTTGTTTGTTTTTTTAGGATATGGTTTGAATTGAATCGGTAAATGTATTTTACATTAGTTGCGAAAGCAAGCAAAACTATCACCAATGAGTTCTTATAAG